CTCGGGAAAAAAAAAAAAAAAAAAAAAAAAAACAAAAAACAAAGACTGCTATATCCATCCTAGAATGAACTGCAAAGTTTTTTGAAAACTCTCATCTCATAATCACAGTTTGAGTGAGGTGGAATAGTGAGGAAGAGCCTTTGTACTTACGATCGTTTGCTCCTACATTAGGTGGGCAACCCAGGGAGATGGCAAGCTTGCTCAAAGTCAGGTGAATAGCTTAGCAAGGCCACCAGTGCCTTTTCTCACAATGAGATGTTACATGTGTAGAAAATGTTCAGCTTTCAGTCAGATGTAAATTTTATTTAAAATATTTTGCTTCTGATTATAAAAGCAATAAGACAGTGATTGAATAAATTTGTAAAACAATGTTGTAATGTTTGTATGGGTAGTGTACGATGAATTGACTCTTCTTTAAATGCTTTTCTTTAATAAGTATGTTTTAAAGAGAAATTTGTTTTTGTTTTTTCCCTGCCAGTCCTGAGTACTGACCTCCAAGTATTTGCACTAAGCTACATCCTTACCCCTTGTTATATTTCAGTTTGAGACAGGTTCACATTAAGTTGCCAAGTGGCCTAGGCTGGGCTTGAAATCATGATCACTGTGCCTTAGACTCCTAGAGCACTGCGATTACAGGTGTGTGCCATCACACGCAGTGAAAAGTGGCTATTTTCATCTTAGCTTCCCCAAAGAGTTAAAAGATATCATATATAGTGACACATGCATAGCCATGTGTATAGCAGTACAACTCATAATAGCTAAATCTTGGAAGCAGCCAGTATGTCCATCAAAAGGTGAATGGATAAAGAAAACGTGGTGTTGCCATAAAGTGGAACACTTCTCTGCCATAAAGGTAAACGAGTCGTGTGTAGGGAAATGGATGCACCTTGAGACCATAATGTTAAGTGAAATAAATCATCCACTCAAGCTTAAGTAACGTATAGTTTCCCAAAGTCTAAATAAAGATCAAAGTAAAAGACAAATAAGAGAAAGTAGGGAGTTAGATCTTTCTGAAGTAAGAAGA